CAACATACCTGTACATTGGCGATACCTGCCTTAAAAATAGTGCGACTAGTATCAATTATCAATGAAAGTATTACGTTTACCTGCACTGGCCCTGCAATTACCTAATTTTACAAGCTTTTATTTATTTTGCTCATCTCGCAGAACAACGAAAATGGCTATCAATTTATGTAGTTATATAGATAATTAAATACCATTCGGTAAAAATTTCGCTTGCAGTAATTTCTACGTGGTAAGTGCTCCTCCATTACTTGGTTTCATAGGGATTCGGGTACCTTCCTCATTGGAGTAGTAAAGAAAATTCGCTTAAGTACCTTTTTCGGTTAAGTGCACAAGTTTTTCGTACAAAGAAGGATGTGCAGCTAAGCAAAATATACTGTATTTAAAATCTAATTAATAAATTAAAGTCAAATCTACGGAAAATTAACAATAAAATACTTTCTTCGCAAAATCTATAAAGGGCCTTTTTATTAAAAAAAAATGCCTGTAGTGTGGGCTGAATTTGTTAGATTTTTTTAGACTATTCAAAAAAGCTGCAGCACCCCCTTACAGTAAAATTAAAAACACGAAGAGCATACAGCATTTTTTACACAAATACATTTTTTTCCCCCAATCGCTACTACACTAAAGGCCCGTCCACATACAAGAGCAGCACAGGTAAGCACCTCTCTATATGACTTATCATCAGCTCATCTAACATCCCTTTAATTACTGTCTAAAACCCGTCAGTTCTGGCCTTTTCCTGAGCCTATCGTTAGATGAGAATGAAGAGAACATTTAGTCGATTCACTGATTTAAACAGAGTTTGGTAAAAGTCTGTTCCACGAGCCCGAAATTGCGCAATTTCGACACTCCATTTAAATTTGAAATATTAGCTGTTTACACGACCATCTCAATTTCGATGACAGTTTGTTGTTGTTTTGTTAGTTTTGTTTTGCTCGGTTTGTCTGTCCTATTTTTATTTACATGTTATTGACGTTGGTTTTTCTTCAGTTAGCTCATGGATTGTTTACAATAAGCAATTTTCAGAGTTTTATTTGCGAAGTTGGAGCAATTTCAGGTGAAATTTGTTTGTGAATAACTCCATCTACACTTCAAATAGGGATATTTCCCGAGTCTCTAAAGCCCTGCACGGTGCACGGATTGCATGGATTGCACGGTGAAACCTGGTTTTCATATGGGACAGCTTTAGAAACCGTACAATCCGTGCAAGGGCTTTGAAAGATTGCGAGAATACCGCTAATGTTTTACATAGTTTAGTGCAATTTGTGTAAAACTGAATGAAGACGACTGAATTGTGTGGTTATAGAAGAGGACCATCGACTTGCAGAAAAAAATAGTTTCTTACTTTAAAGATTAATCCAATATTTTATATGTATTTGTTATAAAACATACATTTCTGTTCGCCTGTAACTCAGCTCCTACTATCGAACTAGTTCATTGAGCTGAACGAACTAGAAGTGAACTAAAAAGTCCAACTCTAGTTAGCAGTGTGTTATATTGCAGCAAAATATTGAATTCCCCAGCACAGAGCACTGATAGAAATTTAATTGAAAATTTGTCGACATACATATTTGAAAAAACGAGTTGCAAAAGAGTCGAGCAGAGCTTAAAAATGTAATTTTAGAAGAATGGCATGAGATATAAGACGTAGCTGTTTAGCTCAACTGCTACAAACTGTTGGCAACTGTTGGACCCAACAATTACGTCTTAGAAACGGCTTGATGAATATGCTGCCAAATGAACAGTTGATAAATGTAAACAAATGAAATTGCAATAAATAGAGATAGTTGTCCCGATAGTATTTAGAATTCAACGCTGAGCTGCCGCCGTGTTGAAAATATCTTTCAAAGTTACAATGAATTAAACAGTGTATAATTATATAGCAAACATCTTAAAAACATATATTTAGAAACGTGGTATTAGTATAAAATATTTTAGTTACTTTATAACATCAGTAATATAAAATAGAATAAATTTGTTTGCAACTGCCACCTAACAAAGCGGCGTTAAATTTAATACAAGCGGCGTAAGTCTTTACGATCAGCTGTTTAGGCTAAGCCCAACACGTTGAGTTCAGGTAGCGTAAAAATTTTCCACTGGAAAAAATGGCGGAAAGTTGCCAACTGTTGAACTGAGCGGAACTACTCAACTGTGCGTTTCGAAGACAAACACTCAACAGTTTAACAAGAGCTACGTCTTAGAAACGCGCCCAATGTTTTGTAAATCATACAACATAAAGCTGTTTTCTGCAAATGTATCTAAGAACACTGTCAGGTTGAAGTTCTCTCTGATTTGCTTTTTATTTTAATACTTCTTCAAAGTGAACGACTCAACATTCTATTACCAGCTTACAATTGTTTATTTTAATAAGATAAAACCAAAAATTAAAAGAAAGTAATGGAAAAATATATTTTTTAAACATCATTTAACATTTCGCTGTTAAAAATAAAAACTTTCCTGAAAAACTTTGTGTACTTTATGCAGGTATTCGTTGTGTTTTGTATATTTAGTTATTAGTCCGGTCAAATTAAGTACATAGACTAAAAACAGTAGGACCATTCCATTGTGACTGATGGGACATTTTACTCCAGAATGTGATCAATTGTGAATTTTAGATATGTTCTCGGAACTTAAATATACAACAGCGAAAGATAATTTTTAACATAAAACAATTACTGTTTTACGTTTTAATAAAAATTAGGCTTTTATCATATTCATAGAAATATTAAAAAAATATTAAAGTTGTGACTGGTGGGGCATCTTCTTGAAATAAAAGTTCCCAAAGACAAAAATTACAACTTCGTTTAATTTTTTTAATATTTTCCAACAGATTAATGAAATGTAGTCATTTTAAAAGAGGTTACTACTGAAATAGAGATAATTAGGGCGTATTTAAATGTATGTCGTTTTCCTCTTTTCAATGGAATGACCCGGTAGTAAACTTATTAAAATTCGCATAGAGCTAGAATTTGTAACACCATTACAAATAAGGTCATAGCTAAACAATATCAGTTTGTTGCATTTTTCTCGTAATTAAATGTCTATCTTGTAATTAAAGGTGAAAACGGCACTTAAATTTTTTTTATATATAGAAACTTATGTCCATTGTTAAGTCAAAAGGCGTTTTTTACCTTATAAAAGACTTTGCAAGTTTTAAATTGGGAGAGTAAGCTTTAAAAAAATTTTACTTAAACTTTACATATTTCTGGATGCTTCACTTCTTAAACTTTAAATTTATTATAAGTATTTCCTTTTACATATGTATGTACAAACTTACATACATTCATACATATGTATATATGTATATCCAGGCTTATCAACATTTTCATTTAATTTGGATAATCATGTTTCCATCTCTTTTAACTGAAGCCTGATTTTAATGAGCATATTATTGCGGCGTAAAGGCCTGTATGCAGCTCTCAAGAAAAGCAAAAACTCCATATAAAATGACGTACAAGAAATGGCTAAGAAATTTTCTTGAGTCAAATTTCCTTAAGGCAGTACGCAGTTCTTAAGAAATTTACTACGCTTTCTACTACGGTTTTCTAAAGTTTTTTGTGAAAAAAGAGCACAAGGCAACCCAGGCTTGCAACAGAAATATATGCCCGTTCCATTATTTCTTGAGGAAAGAGTGAGGCAACAGGCTGTAAGGTATCAAAAATGTCAAAATTCTTTGGACACACACGCAAAATAATGGCAATTTTTTCTTGACCGTTTTCTTGAGAGCTGCATACAGGGCTTAAGTTGTGAAATCCGACTTTGAGTTATAGTTCTTTTTTACAAACACGCTATGACTTTAAACAGGGATGCTAAACAAACGAAACGACATTATGTTATTTCGTTAATGAGTAAATTTAACAAAATAATTTCGTTATGTTTCAGAGATAAATTGACGAAACAAACCCCAGTCGTTAACGTTTAAACAGAACAAAACTGAATCGTTGGAAAATTGTTGTTGTAAACCATTGCCAGCTCACTGTTAGCACCTAGTGCCTAAATGTATGCTACAGCTTCAGCGTAAACGTTAAAAATCAAAATATGTGGAACTTTTGGCATTTTGCATATTTCTAGCGCGTTTCCTAAGGCCCTGTCTCCACAGGAAAACACTGATGTCGTGATAAGCACATGTCACAAAATATATTACCAATGGAGACCGCCTATTTCTCATGGGCGGCAATATATGTGAGCGCTTATTGTTTGACATCTATTGCAGGCAATTCGATAGTTTGACAGCCATATTTTCATTTGAAAGAAAGCGTGCTGGTAGTAACATCGATGAAATTTTCATATTAAATCAAAATAAAATCTGTTCTCTATTGGATTATTTATGATTACGTTTTAGGAAATTATTCAGCAAGTTGTTTAAAGGTTTAAATGTTTTTAAACATCGAAATTGAGAGAATGTTGTCTGGTGGCGTCATGCGGCAAATGCTTATTTCAAGACATCAAAGTACCGACACACAAAAACTTGCAATCACATTGCTTGTCAAAATGACAGTTGGCAGGCCATCGGTGTTCGCCTGTGGAGTTCTGCAGTAAGGACTGTGGCAATTTTTAGCTTTATTCGAAATTATGTAAAATGAAATGTCTGTTTTGGCCGGGATTTATTGAATGTATGCTTTTTAGTCAGCAGTCAGTTTGTAACGGTCATAGGTATGTACTTGAAGGTTTTAATTTGAAATTAGCATAGGTGACACTCTGTATATCTATGCGTATGGGTGCTCTTACTGTGAAGTAAAGAAAAATAATCTTAATAAGTGGCATAGTTTCTGTATCATCTATAATTGAATTTTGAGTTGCATTTGTCTCCGAATGGCACACTGTTTGTAATTGGAAGCTTTCTGATGGTAAAAACTCCAGCGCAAAGATAATCGGCTTTCAAATATCTAATATGAGCTCAGGTATACTAGAGAGTATACTACTCTTCGCTCTATGACCAATAAATTTCTGTTTCAGAATCTAACGGTCACCCCGCCCATATAAAATGAATCTCACCTCACCATTACTACAAACACTGTTGTCGTCCTGGTGGCCGCCACTCCCGACTTCACTATCGCAATCCTCATTATCCTGGTAGTCACTATTGTTATCAAGTTCCCGTGCGGCGGCGGCAGCGCTGGCATAATGCTGTTGCATCACAGCCGCATATTGAGCCACATTGAGGCCATTTGAGCCGATTTGTGTGGCACCGACGGGAAAATGAATTTTATGTGCAGCGCCGGCAACGGCCGTCCCAGCAGTTACGGGCGTTTGAGTATGTAACGGAATTAAATTATGTGGAGGGGGG